TTAATTCTCTCTCTAACTCCAAGACTAATAATAATTTATATGCTGCTGAAATCCACAAAAATGTGGGTTGGTTTCAAATTGTTAAAAACTATTAAAAATAAGAAACAATACAAAAAACCTAAAAGCATAAAAAAGGAAAAATGATGATAGAGGCAACAAACCCAGATGGGAACAAGAAAACGAAGAAATGGGTCTCAATGCATTCTTGTCAAAGAATTGGGTGAATTGCCGTATCTTCAAGACCCTACATGGAATCATGAGTAATCTTCCAGAGATTTCCATTCTGTCTACCCTAAAAGGTAGCTGCAATTAATTTCCCAGAATTAATCAAAGATCTGATTAGAACATTAGAATTAGCTAGAAACATTTCATAACTAGCAAAATTTGGATCTTCTTTCTTCATATTCACTTCTCTTGGATATCTGTGTTGATAGGCAGGATCATATTTCAGGTCATGTTCTGTCTATTTAGTTCAGTTTTCTTTTTAATTTGGGTACATCTTCAGGAAAGAAATTGTTCTTATGATAAAATCAGAGTAACATGACTTAGAATGGGAAAAATTGATTAAAAACGGAAATTGTAAGTTTGATTACTCAACAGAATTGTCAAAATTATGGAAAATTATATTATTACTGAGATAATTCTACTTTTTCCGTCACCATAACTACAGTTTCTCAAAGTTAGTATCTTGTAGATTAGAAAAATGAGCAAAGATAGAATTAAACATTCACATGAATGTGATTATAAAATGCATGTTTACAAAAGTATTTAAATATTGGAAAATAGAAACAACATATTGTATTATGTATTGTATTATATTGTATTATGAATAGAACACATATACTGTGAGATATAAAAACTAAATCATATTTAGTCATCTGTACTCTTATGTCAAAAGGTGAGTCTCAGTATTTTTTTTAAAAAAGGAAATAAGTTTTTCCTCTCTTTTTTCCAGAATCTTTTTTTTGTAGGTAAAAAATACAGAATTGAAAAATACAACTTGATGCACTACTAAAGTTTTCCTTTTAAATATATAATTTGGATTTTAGCACAAAGGCAGCTGTTTTAACTGAATCAAGAGACTACATACCAAACTCTTATTTATTCACTAGGACTTTTTTTAACTAGGCTTGGAAGAATTTAATTGGCAGAATGACATGATTCTTATGTAACTTGAGTTTTAGCTGTTAGCTACTTCACTGAAAGCTCAAAAATAGAAATATTTGAAATCTTTCTCCGGATTTTTTTTCTTTGAAGCTCAAATTTTTAATTATAGATATGGTTCAAAATACACATTATAAATGTGTAAATGCCTGTTTTTAAAGGAGTGAGACTACAGTGCTACTTTTGATTTAATGAACAGATAAGACCACCTGTCAGTCTGGTACCTTTCAGGTGTGCTTGACATTTCTAGTGGCATATGTTGACTAAAAATGAATGTTCAACATATCTAGCAGATGTCAGATTATGGACAATTACCAAGATAATGGGACAAATATTCTTATATTCTTGGTTAAATTTGTTAGGTGAATATTTTCTGGAAACCTTTATAAAACATTCTTATAAATCTCAGCATTTTGGAAATAAAATGCTCTTGCCTGAAAGTGGCTATAAAAGTTATTCTTTCAATAAAAGAGTATAATAAGATGACTAAGTCATACCTTAAGATTTTTTAATATCTGCACTGAACCTTTGATAAATGGATTTGCAATTAGTCATCTTTAACCATATAATAATTAATCATTTATAAAAATACACAGAAGGAATTATACAATTTTCTATAGTACTTTGAACAAACTGTTGGATTTTCTATTTACAATCAATTATTTAATCTTGGTTAAATTCTGACAGAAGCAATCTATTTACAGACCATTACAGGCTAGATAATATGGGTTAACTTTTTATATAAAAATTTATATCAAAATAGTTTATAATATTTTCCTATGGCATGAAGACAATATTGCAATGCAATATGGGAACATCCTGAAGAGGATTTATTTATTTAGCATATGGCACTTGTTAGCCAGGGATCACCAAGGGATGCCTTTATGAAAGGATTTTTTGGGGGCGGTGTTATTTTTATTTCCGTGGGACACCTGAATGCGGAAAGGCAATTGGGAGAGGCTTCTTTCTTGTCCCTACGCGGTTTATTCACTGATGGAACCTCAACTTGGGACCATGCGCTGCCAAGCTGCCGACATCCACGATGCACAGGCTCAGCGTCTTACCATGTGAGTCACCACGGCCCCTGCTGAAGAAATAAGCATTTACAGTTTCTACTCATCCAAATCATTAATAAACATAATAATTGAACACTGACTTTATGGAATCCCACTTCTTAGATTAGGTCATGCAGTACATACTGTTGCAATTTGCAATTTGTGTTTATTCGTGTTAGAAGATGTCGCTTAAACTGAAAGCAAGAAAAATTGTGATTATGTGAAAACATACTTCTAATGAATTCTATTACAGGCAGTAATAAATAAAATAATATCATTAACTATTGTTAGTAACTGTTCCAGCTACTAATGCTAACTAGAAATATAGAAAATGTAGCATACTTGTCCATCAGAAGATCACTTTTTAAAAACAATATCCCTTGTGGGCAGTTTATAAGGGTTCCTGAAAATGACTTCGTGGTTGAAAAGCTGAAATAATTGTATTGAAAAATGACTTATGATTCAGCAAATGCACCTGAAAAACCTTTTCTATTTTACATGCTTTGATCTTTTGTTTTTTTTTATACACTGTCAGCTTTTTATCAAGTCTATGATGACTACCTAGACATGAACAAATATTTTCCACTCTTGTGAACATCTTTATTCCTTTTACATGAGTGGCAGTATCACTGTGTTGATAAAGCAGCTCTAAAATAAGTACTTATGTAAAACAAAATACAGGGAAATATTATGCCTCTCTTTGCTTCCAGCACATTACTTACAGAATCCCACAAATCTCTCAGCAGAAAGGATTGTTTGGCTTCCCAGCTCGCAAAAGATAGCAAAGAAAGTGAATTTTGAATTATCACTTTCCAGAAATGATATTAAAAGTTAATTTAGATGTAAAATCAATTTTCTTTTTAAATTTTATTTTAATCATTTGATGAACAAATTGGATTTTTAAAAAATGTGATGAATAAGAAGAGGGATTTTTTTGTATTAGATATAATTATGGAATGTTTCGCTTGTAAAAGAGGAATAAATAGTGTCTTGATTTACATTGTAAACATACAGGAAGGACAGCTGCTTTCTAGTTCATTGCTGGTTTCTTGATTTAACCCCTTAACACTGAGATTAAAAGGGGGACATTAGCAGGAGCAATTCTGGAGGACAGTTGTAGCAGCTATGCATCCATAGAAATGACAGAATGAAACTATTTTTTATTCTGTTCTTAATGAAACAATTGAAACAATTATCACACTGATAGAGTATTAGATATGAAGCAGAGATAACATAAAAGATATTTTGGAGAATGAAAGCAGCTGGTAAAAGGCGAATAGGGCAGAAGGAAGTCATGATCCAATGTGTGTTTATAATTAAATCTGCAATTCTTCATATTTGTAAGTAAGAGATTTGAAAAAGATGACTGGTGCAACCAATGACTGGTGCAACCGTTAAATAAAAATGAGGGTTAATTAGGAAGATGTCAGGATGGAATATTTGCCAAGCGACAGAACAAAACAATTTATGTTATTCACATTCCTAATTAGCAGATGTTAATAATATCTCATCTTCCACTAAACTGCACTTCACTTAGGATTCTTCCAGATTCAGACAACTTTTATCTAAACAGTTGAAACAAACCCATGTGCAGGAATATAAATTTACACAGAGAAAGCCACACACCCACACACAGAGAATAGGTTCAAACAATGATAGCTATATAGATCAGAAGCAGCATGCCACTAAAGTTTAGCTGCTATGAAATTACAGAGTTATTGCCCTCCTATTCCCAGGGTGTCAATATAACCACTCTTTGAACAAGATGATGCACATTGGGTATCACATTCGCTGCCCTCCAGGTTTAGTGAAGGGAAAGTTACAATATATCACATGACAACATGACGCCTTGAATTTAACACCCCTCATGTTCATGGTTCATTTTGACACTGTAACTTTTAGGGTGTATAATCAGAAGAAATAAGGTAAAAAAGATGAATCCTTCCTATATATTTATAATCAAATAAAGGGTTATGGGAAGCTACATTCATGAGATTGGAGCATTTTCCCAAACTTGTTTCTGGTTTTACTTTTTTCAGTTTCCTGCAAATCTTCATGCAGTTAACTTCTTGTTACCATGCTGTTGGGAAATTTATGTAATAATTTAACAGGGTTGTATTAATTTTTTTAAAATCATTTAAAATAATGTCACTGAAAACAATGATCTGAAAAGGGAAATTAACTTAAAGGAAAGAATTGGCAGATCGGTAAATTGAACAGTTGTCACTGAGCTCATCTTTATTATTGATTGATTGATTGATTTGATTTGATTTGATTTGTCAATCGCTTACAAGATAATAGCTAGAGGTATAAACATGAGTAAGAATACAGGAAATAGATATGAATAAATGGGACAATAGGACAGGGATGATAAGCATGAATGTGCACTTATTACCCTTACAGACCTCTTAGGAATGGGATGAGGTCAATAGTAGATAGTTTAAGGTTAAAGGACATTTAAGGGATGTAACAACAGAGTCAGGTGGTGCATTCCAGGCATTGACCACTCTGTTGCTGAAGTCGTACTTTCTGCAGTCAAATTTGGAACGGTTTGAGTTTGTATCTGTTATGTGCTCTTGTACTGTTGCAGTTGAAGCTGAATTACCTTCTACAATTTCCTACCAGTCAAAGAGGTAGTCATTGACTGGTAGGACATTGTAGCAGATAATTTTGTGTACTACAATCTTTTCATTGATTTCTTTCTGCAGATAGGATAACAAGCCAGTGAAACCACGACAAAACTGATTGCTAAGCATATGGAAAAGATATACTCTTATGATATACTTACACTGTTCTTTTATGCCATTATGGACACGTGCATCCTGGAACATGCAAAATCTCTGAATTTGGGAGTCGATTTATTGTCACTTTTACCTTGGGGGCAAAAAAAAAAGTAGGAATGGTGATTATAACATTATATCTGACAGTTTATCTTATACTTTTTGAGTTAGTAAGATAATAAAAAAAAATTCAGATCCAAACTATGAATCAGCATGCATTTCTATAATAAACACTGGAGTTGAGAAATGTATACAATTCTGGTGATTTAGGCTTGCAGACTTTTCTTGCCAGACAGTTTTATGAAGTTGTGTATCATTAGCATCTTGATGGAGTCCATGAAAAATCTATTGGCAACAAAATCCTGAAGTGAATAATTGCTGCAAATATTTCTAATGTTAAGACACAGAAAAATATATGGAGAAAAAGCCAGGAATTACCATTGCCATAACAATGGACTGATCACTCTGTCAGAGTGATTTTAAAGCGGTGATAAATTTGTCTTACAATTTGACGGGATAGAAAGGAATGTTAGTTTGTTCCTTGCTACAAACAGAAATTCTACTGGTTCTGTCCGGTTCTATAGAACCCTTTGTTACTTTCTAAGCAGTTTGCAGAACCGGTAGTTAGAAGCAATCTCCTTTTGTTTTTTTCCACCCTTATTACATTCTTGCCAGTACGCCTAGACTTCCTGTCTCTGGAGCTTCTGAGACTTGGCTTTCTTAAAGGGGGAAGGGAAGGGGTGGGATTCAAATTTTTTAACAACTGGTTCTATGGGTGTGGCTTAGTTGGTGAGTGTGGCTTGGTGCTCATGTTATTGGCTGCGTGTGGCCAACTCAATATCACTCACATCGAGGCACACATCTCCTGGCCTGGCCTCTCATGATTGTGGGGATGCTGCAACAGTTGTAAGTGTGAAAAATGGTCATAAGTCACTTTTTTCAGTGCCATTGTAACTTCGAATGGTCACTCCACACAAACAAAGTACCAGCAAAGGAGGACAAAAACTCCAGAGACGTTCCTGAAACAGGAAGTCTAGTCCTGCCAAGCATGTAATAAGGGTTAACAGAGAGGCAGTTTCTGTAAGCAACACCAGCATGTTTCCTTCCTGCCTTCCTTACAGGATTAGGGCAGTAATTTCTTCTAACAACCAGTTCTCCGAACTGCTTAGAATGTTAACAACCGGTTCTAGCGAATAGATGCGAACTGGTAGAATCCCACCCCTGGGAAAGGGTTGTTTTAAGTTTTTTACATGCTGTTGGGAGGAAATACTTCCCTGGACAATCAGCACTTTGAAGAAATAATTGAATATTGAAGCAGAGCTTTTAGTGACAGGGAACCAAGATGAGTAACATTCAGCAAGGCTTCTTGGCTAACTAGAAAGATTGACATTCAAACGTGAGTTTACATACCCTTTCTGAGTTTTGGTCTAAAACTGGTTTTTGGTGAAGGTTAATTCTGTGCTTGGTGACGTTTAATCCTGTGTTTATTTATGGGATAATTTTCCCTATTCAGCTTCAACAAGCAATAGCTACTGTTGTGATTTAATTATTTGTATTGTGTTTGAATTTTTTCCTGCCTCATGGTTTCTTTTTCTATCTGGGGAGGGGGTCTTCCTCACTGCTTTAGTACTATCTGGCACTGTCCTTTTGGGATGTACTTCTAAGAGGCAGGATGCTAGCTTGGCACTGATTTTTTTTTACTGCCTTTCTGGGGGGAAGTAAATCTTCCTTAAATCTGGATGATTTCCTTAGGATATCTTGTGAGCTAAGTGAGACCAGCTGGCATCTTTAAGTGGTGCAGGATTGCTTTTCCTAGGTGTGCTTTTTCTGGGGAGCTTAAATGACCTCTCTGCTAAAGAGTTTCACTTATGAGCAAGAGATGGCTGCTTGATAGTCATCACTGCATTTTAACTATTTTCATTCATCAAGGTGCTCTGGCACCCTGCCTGATTTGTAACTCTGACTTGCAGGTAGTTTGAATCTAATGATTGGTATTTAGGGCAGCTTTTTGCAAGTAAAGAAGCTTTTTGTATTTTTGTACAGGTAACCATTTTTCACAATTATGACCGTTGCAGCATCCCCACTGACATGAGAGGCAAAGTGAGGAGAAGTGCCCCTTGACACGAGTGATGTCTAGTTGGCCACGCCCTCCCAGTCACATGACTACCAAGCCACACCCACCAACTAAGCCACACCCACAGAACCATTGTTAAAAAAAACTGAGTCCCATCCCTGCGACAGCCCTCCTGCTTGAGATTTATTTCTAGTTTTAAAAAACAACAATCTATTTCAGTTTGCTGACCTCCTTCACCAGGAGTTAGAATATTCTGGATATTTCACAAAACCAGTTTATGTGTTGTTGCTGATAATAGTGCTGGGATTTAAAAAGATTTAAGTTATTGAAAGGAAGTAGTATGACAAAAAAGAAACCCTTTCAGTTTTTACTGTGCTTTTTCATTGTCACTTTATTTCTAAGGTCAGACTTAAGTTTAAAAAGGGATCCTATGGCAAATGAAACCAAGCTGGGGAGGTGAATGGGGAGAGAAGGGTGATACAGGATCACTTATCATCTAGCTGGACATTTCTAATTGTGTATTTATAAGCAGATAGATAGGGCAAAACATCTAATGATAATTTTGCATAAAAATCTCGTATTGCCTAGTGCTAAGCTTTGCCTCAATTGCTATTTCTTACCTCCTTTCTTGTGGATCTACTTATGAACCAAAACATTTCATCCATATCTTTGATTTTCAAATCATTCACAGCCACTATACAGTCCCCTTGATGAAATATGCATCCTAAACGATATGGGTCTTTCCACTGAGAAATGCTGCAGTAAATTAGAGAAGGGACAAAAAACAAACATTTCAGACTTCTTATCTAACCTGATATGGAAATTAACAGAGGAAACTATCTTAGACCACAGTTTTAAGGGAACATTTCCTTACTATTGGCAATTTTTGTTGAAGTTAGTGGGATCTGATCATGTTGAATTTTCATCGCACAGCACATCTGTCAGGCTGGGATTAAAAATGTTAGAAAATTGAATGAATCTGAGAGCGGTTCATTTATTAGGACCAGGAAGAACAATTAATTAAAAGTAAAATTGTCTGAAAGAGGAGAGTGGAAGGCTATTACTATATTAAAATATTCCACACCAAGTTATTATGCAGTCATATACCAATTCTCTTGTGATCTTAATATCTTGCAGCACACTATACTTCAATAGGTTCCAAAAATTAGCAGCAGAAAAGTTGATTCTCAATAAATGAACTGGGAGCAGAATTTGTTTTGTTGTGCGTGTATGTGTGTGTGTGTTTGTGTCTTTGTGTGTACTGAGTTTCTCAGTCCAAGAACAAACAGAAGATCTGTTATGCAAAGGTTTAAAATGATTATGGACCCAGAAATTGACTGCTCTATATCAATTAATTAATTAAAAACATCAGACATACCTTTCTGAATTACTGAAAAGTATCAGGTATTAAACCTCATATTAGGTCTGTGAGGTAGACCAAGTTAGGAAACATGCTCCTCAAGAAATACTGAAATTCTACTATATTTATATAGAGCAGTGTATATGCTGGCTGGGGGAATTCTGGGAATTGAAGTCCATATATGTTAAAGTTCCTGAGGCTGAGAAATAGTGATTGAAGGTCTGACAGTGTTTTTCTTTTCCTACTTTTTATATCTGACAAAGTCAGTGCAGGATCACTTTCAGTTTCTTTATAACAACTTCCTTTTTCTGTGCGTAATACACGTTATGCTAACTGCCACAATCCTGATGGAGAGCTTTGAATATTGCTAATCTCTTTTCCATTTTATTGTTTGGATCCTTCCTCCTTTTGTCAGTGCCTGATAGGCCAGTCATTGATACCGATATGCCTCTTTGCTGATCAACAAGGTGGGTGGGGAAATGTCCAAGCCTTCAATACGAAACACTCAATTTCCCATTGGTTTGAAAAGAAAAGAAAAGAGGTGAAACATGTGATATTAGAAGCTGACCGTTTTGTTTGTAGCTAATCAAATTTCCTGCTTCATTTTGTTATTAACTGATATCTTGAGGTGGCTGCTAGACTAATGGCAGACTCCCCCACCTCACCCCTGCTCCGCTCTCCATCTGACCACCTTTTTTGGTTATCATATTCTCCTTGTGTTCTTTTCCATTGTTTATTTTATTTCTCTATTATTTTATTTCTGCTCTGTTTACACTTTCATATTCTTCCTTTTTATTATTGTAAGCTGTCTACGGCAGGGGTGTCCAACCTTGGCAACTTTAAGACTTGTGGACTTCAATTCTGGGAGTTGAAGTCCACAAGTCTTAAAGTTGTCAAGGTTGGACACCCCTGGTCTACGGCATCCCTATGGCAAGACAGACAGCAAATAAATTTAACGGATAAATAAATGAATGACATATACATTATTGTAGTTATTAGACAGGTATATTATGGCAGTCTATGAATGATGACAATCTAAAGCTGTAGGATCTTGATAGTTTTATTGATGCATTTCCCCCCACACTCTCCTACTTTTGTTGAAGGTAAGCAAGCAATGCAATGTTGTTAAGAAGAAACCTGTTACTTTATGTCTTCATAATCTGGAGAAAGATTGTGGTAGAGAAAGTGTGACACCTTGTGGTTTACCAAGGCAGTGGAATTTTAAAAACTTGCCAAGTTTTTGGTTTGTTTTTTTAATTTCATCCTGAGTGTCTATTGTGGGAATAATGACGAACCCTGTATCAGGCCTCTGACAGTTATTTTCTGCCAGATAAATTACTTTAATACTGATGATAAGATACCCAAGAGCAACAATGCAGTTCAGGCAGCCTGGACTGTACAGTTCTGTCCACCAATTTGGTTTCTTCATATGTATGTTCCCCCTGAGGCAAACACCTAAATTTCCTTTTATTAGTATCATTTCTGATACTAGGAGATATAAATACAAAAACTATTTACTACTGCATTGACTTCAACAGTTAACATTTTTGCATTTGAAGAACTGTTCTCACATATTTTCCAAGTTACTTTTTGATTGCTTGAAAGAGCTATGAAATCTATTACCGATTTCTAAGATCTACCAAATGTTAGCTGGAGACATTATGATAACTATGGAAGAGAATGCACCTTCATATATCTTCAGCCCTGACATTTCTTTTCACAAGAACTGAGTGCATAGTCTTAATGCTTAAAGTTATCTATCTTAATTTCCATATCTTAATTATCTACACAACAACTGCCTGAAAAACTCTTCATTTTCCAAAGATAAACATTCCAGTATCCCAATGTCTTTTGGCAGGATTTAGTTTTCAGATAGTGTTTGTCTTTGTTTTCAGGGAAGGGTGGCTCTTTTTGTGAATCTATTTTACTTTGTTTCAATGCTTCTTAAAGCAATAATGATGCCCTGTTGATTAATTAAATTTATCTTGCCATGATTTGCTGCAGGTAATCCATCTGAGATCTATGAAACTATATTCCTTTGCTTCTTATAAAATATATATCTATTTTTCCCCTTTGGGAGACTTAGAATCTATGTCTAGACAAATGTACAATAAGTGTAGTAAATAACAATGTTAAAAAGCATGAAATATTAAATTTTTTAAATAAATAAAGGCCATAAAATTAACTTATTAATAACTGTTCAAATTAAAAGAATTAAGAATTAATTAAGAAAAAATTAAAATTAAAAGAGTTACTTCGTGACTTTAATAAGAATTTTTGTAATGTTCTTTGGACAAAACTCTATAGAAAAACCTGAAAGATTTTTGGTAGGGTTGGAACTATCTAATTAAATTAATTAACTTTAGTTAATGAAGTTAAGAATCTCTCAAATGATGAGCCCCTAACTGGCCTTTTCTGGACTTGAAAATTAAATTAGGCTAGATTATGGAAAAGAGATCTCAAAGGAATATCAGTGCTGTAGGACTGAGAAGTTGAGGGAAAAATATCTTGGAAGATGGCAGTCATAAACTGTTTCCATAATACTGCCGAAAACAGCAGTGGGAATAAGTCCATGAGTTCACCAAAAATTGGACTCACTTTGAAAGTGACTTTGCTACTTTTAATAGTTAACCAACTGCACATTAATTAGTTGGAGCTGTCTTTGTGAAATAATATTTGGTGATGAAAAGATGGCATTGCTAAAAATAACTCATGCATTTATTTTGGCCTGACAGCATATTAATTATGATAAAGCAATATATTTAGTTAAGCCAGCAGGAGTTTTATCAAAGTCCCTTCAATGTAATCGTCATTGAAAACCTGTAATTTGAATTTGATCATTTAGTTAGCTGATCCATTTTAAGAAGGCAAGTAGTTAACACATTCCCCACCTCCCAAAACAATTCATCTGATTGTTATTTAGAAATTTACATAATAGATACAGTAAATAATTAATATAAATAAAAGACTTTACCATATGTATCCAGATGCTTTTACAAGTGTTAAATAGGAAATAAGATTTTGTTGAGGAAGGAGAATATCCACCTTCTCCAACTGGTTATAATCTGTGATTTTACTGAAAAAGAAATGAATGAAATCCAGAATGTAAGGCTGTTTGATCAAAACATACACCATTGCAAACTATTGCTATTCAAGCTAATTCTTAAGATAGAAAACATATACTGTAAGCAATAGCAAGCTATATAGCTGTCTAGATTGGGCTGGGAAACATCCAGGAAACATGTATGGTTTATTTAAAAATTTATCTTTACAAATTTTAAACAGTATTAATATCTCTTTCTCCTTTTGGCTAGGGCAGGAGTACAGGATGCTGTCAAACCAAATACAGATAGACAATTACATGTCACAACAAAAGAAAAGGCTTCCAGTAAGAAGGAAAAATTGGGCCATTTTATTTCTCCTCTATGTCTACTTAATATGTAAATTAAGGAACAAATTTATGCTTTGCTGAATTCAATGAATAAGATGATGGAGAGATAAAGTTAAACATTACTTCCTGGTTCACAAAATGGAACAACATGCTAACTTAATTTTTTTGTTTATTAGCTACCAATATGATGTTTATCTATTTAGAATTGGAACAATTTAACAAGGTTTCCTTTTAGATCTCAACATTTACAGTCATGAAAGAAATGATTCTATTCAAAAGAAATTCTTACCTGAGTATAATGGACAATTGAACCACTGATAAAAAAAAGAGTTTGGGTGTTTTTTCCAATATTCTTGGTAATGGCTTTGGTTTATGTTGACTATCTTCTGCCACTTGTAGATCCATCTGATTTTGGGAAAGGACCACTAATTCATTATTGACATGTTTTGCCTTTATTTTATCTTCCACCATCTCTGGAATCCTGAGGAACAGATTATATTAACCTTAAAAGATATTTATCAGTCAGGTCCTCAAAAATCTTACTTCTGGACAATCACCTGAAGAGCAACAGTTGAATGAAAGTAGATCATATAAAATTAAGAACAAATTTAGGATAATGCAGGTAAAGTTTAGTTTAGAAATGTGATGGTTTACTCACTGACCTCATAGCCATAAGTCATTAATTTCTGAAGTCAGTCTTTTGACATGTATTGAAAGTACATTGAGTACACTGAAGTATTTGGAAATAAACTTACTTATGTTGCATTGTTATGCTTTCTTATTTCCCCCCTCCCCAAATTGAACATTCTTCCTTAATTTTTCTTTTTCTGGGCCTTCACATATTTAGAGATCTAGCTTTTTATTTGCTTCTTGTTCTAGCTCAAATAATTATGGATGATTCCATATTTAGACAGTCATATATGCCTTTAAGTCAGTGTTGACTCCTGGCAACTGCCTGGACATATATGAACTGCTTATAGCAAAACCAGAAAAACAAAACAAAACATATTACTTCCAACGTCATTATTAATAAACTTTAAATACCATGTTAGGCCATACAACAAACATCAAGGTCATGTACTTCTCTTCTTATTAGCAGGTTTTGCTTAAATCCATCTTGTTATGTCATTCTCATCAATAATATGTAGTCAATATTACATACAGACTAAAATAAGTTTTAGAAACTTATTGATTACAAGTTAAATATGCGATCAATATGCAATTAGAATTATTGGTAATAATTAGCATCTTTCTGACTGTTCTAGTATTAATATCAGAAATTAGATTTTACTTTTGATACTGATCTCCAATCTTACATCAGTTTGAATTCAGGAGATATAGTTAATCAAATGTTCACATGCTGATAGTCCTTTTGAAATATAACTGTATATCAGCAAGACTGAATGTACAATAAAGATTAATTTAAACTAGAAAGAACAGTCAAGAGGAACACAGGAGCCCAAATTCAACCCTGGAATTTTCCCTTACAGTCCTAAACTCCTTCCTCGTCCTCTAAATCTTTGACCTATCTCTCTAGTCTTCATGCTTTCAGAATTCTCATTCTCTCTCCTATCCAGATTATTTGCAATAAGCAATTAGCCAATTGAGAGAAAATCTTTCGGGGGGGGGGTGTATTTTGACATAAAAAGAGAACCCAGAAGGAAGTGCTTTGTGCCATTTTTTTAAAGGAGAAAAGACCAGAATGGGACACCTCAGCATGACCAACTTGCTGAGGTTGCCCGGATGGAACTGGGCCAGCGAGCAGGCAAGTGAGCAAGTGAGAGGCAGGTGGACGGGCAGACGAGTGGGTAGTCAGAACACATAATGGTAGTGGCAGCCATTCTCACATCTCCCACCACCTCTGCCTCCACTGTGCACTCTGGCCACCTCCTCACTCACTCACTTGTTTGCTTGGCTCTCCATTTAGGCACGGGCAATGAGTTTCTCCCACACTGAAAGGCACATATTGAGTGCATACTGCAACAACCTGGTATCAGTGAGTTGGCAGAGGCAATGTGATAACCTGGGGCATGGCACAAAGGTAACACAGTGAGATAATTAATAAGAGTCCCTTTATTATCTCCAACTTTTCCCCAATGTCTAGGTTACCTTCTGGCTGGAGAAAAACTCTCCCAGGAACAGCCTTTGACTGCAGAAAATTAAGTCCAAAACATGGTCAACACAAACTGTAACTTAAAGTCCAAACAAGCCAAACTCAAGTAATTAATTTGGTAGGGCAGGAACAAGAATTTCAGATTTGAAGGCATGGCAAACCTCACACAGTTGGGAAGATGCCAGGAACACAGATAAGCCATGACAGCACCAGATAAAGTCACGTTTGCTCCTAACAGCCTGCTGCACGCAGCCTGCCTTTCTTATCAATTGTCTTCCCAGCTGTGCTAATGAAGGGAATCAGGGCTCTTTCCTCCCCATAAGCCACACAACCCACTCTCTTCTCTGTTTCTTCCTCTGTGCCCTGGGATGAAGAATGGGTGGGCCTGGTTCTTCCTCTGAACTCCTTCTCCCTTGTTCTATCTCTCTCCTGCTCTGCCCAGCTGGACTTTGCCCTTCCCCAGTCTCCTCCATAGTCAACAGAGCCACAGTCCCATTCCCTGTCAACTGTCTGGCTTCCTCCTTGGATTCAGACACTGACAGGGGCATGACAGGCAACTTGCGGTGGCAGTGGGGCTGCCCCTAGCTGGCCATCCACAGCTGGCTGCACCAAGTTGCTCTAGATCAGAAATGACTGTATTGTCCAGGGGACAACAGAAACCAAGCACTTCTAGTAGAACTACTAGATATGGGCTGCCAAATAAAGGATTGGTTTTTCTGTCATCTATTGCCATTCTAGTTTTGAAGCCAACTCTGGTGGTCTTACCTGCAACATGCATAATCAGGAAAACTTTTAAAGTATTGCACTTATTGTTGACTTTGACTTTGTTACTCACATGGAAGGAAAGTTGTAAAAGAAATGTGTAATATTTGTTTCAGGAGAGAAATATCTTATTGCTAGTATACTTACAAATCTTTCATGAACATGTATTCTTCATTACTACTGAGCTTTTCATTGTCTGAGATGCTAGGTTTTCCCGGAGTGTTAAACCCATCAATCACCTCATCCAACTTTGAAAATAAATGATATGCAATTAATAAATGTATGTCTTATGCACTGTTTATATACAAATGTCATCAACTAAACTTAACAATTTCTAGATTTGGATTCTGCTATCATGGGAATATTGATACACTTAGTTAAAGCTAAAATTGTTTCTTAGTAGTGAAGCAAAATAAAATAGTAATTGTTTAGTAATCAATTTAGTTTCTTAAAAAATCTCAGTAACTAGGACTGCTGAAAATCTTAGAACATGGTTCAATTTGATTTAGACAAAAAAGATGGCAAAAGGAAAAATAGGCTCATTTCATCAGCCCTGCTCAAATCAAGCTTTTTTCTCAAAGTGGCCCCTAGTGAATCAGCATTATATATATCACAGTTGGTCTGTATGGAATTGCCCTTTGGATGACAAATTAATGACAAAGAAAAACAAATCTGTTTTTTTTCTCATTTATGGTTTTTTTTCCTGCTGTGGTACACATAATGCTTAAATTATCTGGGATTATGTTAAACATAAATAGATGGAATATGCATCTGTGTTAACATGAGATGTATTGGGGACTAAGAATCTACACTTGAGATACTAAAGGAGACAAGTGTGTGTGTGTGTGTGTGAGAGAGAGAGAGAGAGAGAGAGAGGGAGGGAGGGAGGGAGGAGGGATGGTCACCATTCTCTTGCTTTGGAACAGCTTATTTCCTGAGCTCAGAATGTCTGCTGTTAACATTCTATTCAGGATAGCAGTTAAAACTGTGGATGGGCAAAAACTTAGAGATTCTATGTTTCTATGTTGATTATATTTCTGTGATGAATTCAGATATTTATAGCTTATGATTATAACCCTCCTAAATTGATTAAGCAGCACACAAATAATTTACAAATAATGAATGTGTAAATAAATAACATGCTACATGATGTATTTATTAATGCAAACAAATGGATTATGCATACTCCATGGCTAGCCTAATCAATAACATGGGAGATCATGCCATTCTGCTTACCTGTGCTAAAATACTTGTTGGAGAAGCATAATATTCTTCTTTGTCTTTTTCTTCCAGTTCTTCAACAGGAATATTTGTCATTTGCCTCTAAAACAATAATTTAATTATTCTTTACTTAATACCATTTGACAAGATAAAAATAAATGTTATCTATAAAAATAAGCACAAAACAGTGAGGTATCTGATTTTATTAGAAAATCAGAAATGAAGTGCAGAAAATGGAGGTCACTGTCTAAAATACACTGCTCAAAAAAATAAAGGGAACACTTAAACAACACAATGTAACTCCAAGTCAATCACACTTCTGTGAAATCAAACTGTCCACTTAGGGAGCAACACTGATTGACAATCAATTTCACATGCTGTTGTGCAAATGGAATAGACAACAGGTGGAAAGCATAGGCAGTTAGCAAGACATCCCCCAATAAAGGAGTGGTTCTGCAGGTGGTGACCACAGACCACTTCTCAGTTCCTATGCTTTCTGGCTGATGGTTTGGTCACTTTTGAATGCTGGCGGTGCTTTCACTCTAGTGGTAACATGAGATGGAGTCTACAACCCACACAAGTGGCTCAGGTAGTGCAGCTCATCCAGGATGGCACATCAATGTGAGCTGTGGCAAGAAGGTTTGCTGTGTCTGTCAGCGTAGTGTCCAGAGCATGGAGGCGCTACCAGGAGACAGGCCAGTACATCAGGAGACATGGAGGAGGCTGTAGGAGGGCAACAACCCAGCATCAGGACCGCTACCTCTGCCATTGTTCAAGGAGGGACAGGAGGAGCACTGCCAGAGCCCTGCACAATGACCTCCAGCGGGCCACAAAAGTACATGTGGCTGCTCAAATGGTCAGAAACAGACTCCATGAGGGTGGTATGAGGGCCCGACGTCCACAGGTGGGGGTTGTGCTTACAGCCCAACATCGTGCAGGATGTTTGGCATTTTCCAGAGAACACCAAGATTGGCAAATTCGCCACTGGCACCCTATGCTCTTCACAGGTGAAAGCAGGTTCACACTGAGCACATGTGACAGATGTGACAGGGTCTGGAGACGCCGTGGAGAACGTTCTGCTGCCTCCAACATCTTACAGCATGACCAGTTTGGCAGTGGGTCAGTAATGGTGTGGGGTGGCATTTCTTTAGGGGGCCGCACAGACCTCCATGTGCTCGCCAGAGGTAGCCTGACTGCCATTAGGTACCAAGATGAGATCCTCAGACCCCTTGTGAGACCATATGCTGGTGCGGTTGGCCCTGGGTTCCTCCTAATGCAAGACAATGCTAGACGTCATGTGGCTGGAGTGTGTCAGCAGTTCCTGCAAGATGAAGGCATTGATGCTATGGACTGGCCCTCCCGTTCCCCAGATCTGAATCCAATTGAGCACATCTGGGACATCATGTCTCGCTCCATCCACCAACGCCATGTTGCACCACAGACTGTCCAGGAGTTGGGGGATGCTTTAGTCCAGGTGTGGGAGAAGATCTCTCAGAAGACCATCCACCACCTCATCAGGAGCATGCCCAGGCATTGTAGGGAGGTCATACAGGCACGTGGAGGCCACACACACTACTGAGCCTCATTTTGACTTGTTTGAAGGACATTACATCAAAGTTGGATCAGCCTGTAGTGTTTTTTTCCACTTTAATTTTGAGTGTAACTCCAAATCCAGACCTCCATGGGTTGCTAAATTTGATTTCCATTGATAATTTTTGTGTGATATTGTTGTCAGCACATTCAACTATGTAATGAACAAAGTATTTAATAAGAATATTTCATTCATTCAGATCTAGGTTGTCTTATTTTTGTGTTCTCTTTATTTTTTTGAGCAGTGTATATTTATATGTTATAATATGGGAAAACAAATTCAAATTAAAACCCCTTTCTGTCAGTTGGTATATATTTGTCTATTAAGTACAGTGATAAAAACTGTTGATATAATTTTAAAAGGCAGTAAAATGCTCAGATATCTACTGAACATTATCAAGCTAATGCCTAGATCCCACACACATTTATTTTGTATAGATAGTCTGGCCAAAAGATAAAATATCTACATACTGCATTGTTTTACTAATCATTCATCAATACTAACTCCTTTGTCAAACATTACCATATTTGGAGCTTCACAAGAGTAAAAAGAACCAGAAGTAAAGTAACAATTGGTAAATAGGTAGGTAGGTAAATGGGTGGGTGGGTGGGAAGGAAGGAAGGAAATACAGTTTGTGAAATTGTTCCCCTTAATGTAAATAATATTATTAACAAATATTTCAGATAATCCTGATGGACAACATAGCCAGTATCAGTTTCTGAACTCACCAGGCGTTGTAGGAGTTTTCTTGGTGATTCATAAATATGTAATTCTTTCTGGATTTCTTTACAAGTCGGGTCTGAGTTTGGCCTTTTTTTGTAAGCTGCTGCTGCTATGTTCTATGCCGCAAAGAAAATAATTAGTCACTTAATGGCTTTATTTCAAGGTGCTTAATTAACAGTGATAGCTGAAAATTTGAGATAGAGTTTCTGATGAGAATTAATATAGACACTTTTGCTTTAATTTCCTTTTAATATGTTAAAATTGTGGAAAAAGAAAAGGATAGTGTTCATTTTTAAAAAAACTATGCTTAATCACCAATTTTGAATTTTAAAAAAATCATAAATATCTAGGGTGATAAGAATGGAAGAAAGTCTGATCAAGTACATCCCTCCCAAAACTCCTAAAACAAGCTAATAATGACTAAGCATGCTTAGTGGGAATATAAGACTGACTATTGGGAGAAAGAATGAAGAATGAAGTCAAATTTCTTAGGAGAGGGTATTTCTGGACTTCTTAATACCTTGTTCCTTTATGGCTTGCAATTAAAGTGGATATGTCTATAAAAGTCTATAAAATTAAACACTTACTTCATATTTAGTGCCAAGACACTGATCCTTTTTGGTGATAGAAATAGTATCCAAATCATCAAGACAGGCTGGGACAGATTGGGACCGACTTCTGACTTTCAGTTTCTGAAATTCAAAATTTACACAACAAACTTTATATACTTTTATATAAATCATCCAACTGTTGTTCATAACAGCTGAAGACATGTTTCTTCAAGCATTTAGGGGCAAGTAGTGTGCAGGATATCTTTTAGGCAAATTATTAGTTGTTGCTTGTATTTGTTTTTTTTTACACATTCCTTACTTTGTAAACCAATTAACAAATTACTTGAGATCCACAAAAATGGGCAGCGAATAAACTGTGTTACAAATAAATGGACATATTCTTTCTCTGAAATGCAGATGCCCACAATTAAGATCCACATCACATTCCATCCACCTAGGGTGGTAAGTATCTTCAGAAAATTATGCAAAAGTTAGCAAAGCACTACTTGCTTGTTTATTGTATTCATGGTCATTTAATCGTCAAATGTTTTGCAGTGTTGAAAACGTCCAAATTGTCTTTTCTAGGTGAAGACATATTACTTTGGGATATAAAATTGCATTATTTTTCTGTGAGCTCTTGCTATTAAATATTTTGTGACAGGGATCATTGTGGCTGATCAAATAAGCCTTTTTCTGTCCTGGTGCTTTTCTGGAAACAATGCAAGGATTGTGTTGCAAGGCTACAATAGTCTCAGGTGTGCTGACCTTTCATCATCTCTTTTCCAGGATGTGCCCTGGAGGAAAATTGATTAACACTTTAATGTTTTAGTTCTTGGGTTTTCACCTTTTTTTTTTTTTGCTTTTTACCACACTGTATATTATTTTAAATTGTATGCCATCCAGAACACTTGTGTAAATGTGATTTATAAGTAAACATTAAACAAAGAAAAGTTTTCCCTTACCAGCAAAGACTCACTAGTAATCAGTTCTATGATTGTTAATAACATAGGAGATTGATGATTTAGTTTAGACTGTCTCAAAATTTCATCTAACACTTAAGGAAGTTGCTAAATATTAACAATAGCCACAGTCTGCATAAACCATCTGGTGCCTTTCTTACATTATTTTGTATTATTTTCTGTATAAGTTTAATTTATTGTTTTACTGTTTTTATGATTGCTTTATAGTTGTTACCTTTGATTGCTTTATAGTTATTGCTTTCATTGTTGTTGTGTTACTCAGAGTTGCTTAAGATATAACTATTTTTTCTTCATAACAAAGATTGGCAGCCATATAAATATTTTAAATAAATACAGTACAAGACAGTTTATATTTGATATGTTGTAATTCTGTCTTTTAAAATTGGACTTGGATCACAAGTAAAAATCAAGAATCAGGTAGATATTATCTTGTCAACATTCAGGAGATTTAGAAGCCCGCTTTCCTCACAGAAAATTTTAGTGAAAGTAAAATGTGAATCGGGTGGAGAAAAATTGATTCACATCTTAACTAAGGAAATTTTTAAAGTAAACTTGTCTTTAATGAAGGCAAATAAAAAAAGAATGAGCGTATCATTATCAACTTCAAAAGTTGACAATGTGGCTTGTAAAAGTGACATTTCTTGAGTTAATAATTTGAAACTTGACTTCTGTAATCTGATTGCCTCATTAAAGCTTTTGGCAACATTTGCTGGTAAAAATCCCATTTGTGTATATGCCACGTTTCCTTGTGAACTAGAATATGGTTGGAAAAGGACAGAGGCAAATGATAATTAACAGTTTGGCTCCCCCCCTCCCTCCAGAAGCATTAGATATGGTATGGTATATCACAAAAGACAACATTAATTTACCTGTTTTTCTGAGCACAATGTAAACATGAAGGTGGCCCATTCCTCAACTTCCTTGCTAGAGTTTTAAATGTTTTACAACAGACAAAAGAGTAACAGAAGTTAAAAATTAAGTCCAGATGATGCTCACAACATTTAGCAATTGTCTCAGATGATGACTGTGTGTCATTCTTTGCCTTTGCCTATGAATTGCAGAATTAATCAAGACGCATGCAACAAGCTGCAGCACCTATCTGGACTTGGGTTAAGGTGGCTTAGAAGAATGGAATTCTCTTGGATTTGGATGCTAGAATAGGAAATTTTTAAAAATCCCAGAAGAAGACACAGGAAAACCACTTCCATATTTTTGTCCAAAAAAGCAATGCAAGTCCGAACTTCAGATAGTTTTCAAAGGAGCCATGCAGAATATTTCACTGGATTTGATTTCACTTAAGAATTAGCTTATGTTTCCCCTCTCATGATTGAATTTCCTCTATTCTAGAATAGTGGGAAATGGTTAGCTCTTAGAATAATCTCTAATTATAAAAAATATCTTTCTTTCTTTCTTTCCTTTCTTCCTTCCCCCTTCTTTCCCATAATTGTGAGAAAGTGTTCATCATAAGTTGTTTTTCTCTTTTGCAGCTTTATGACACAAATCTGGAGAATCTAACTCTGTCATAAACAGTATTGAACTATGCCCACTGCAGTTAATATCTCTTTTCTATGCAAGCTGCAGAATTCAGAATAATGGTCTGAAATTATAGGGAAGCAGATTATAGGTGGATGCTAGAAAAAACATCTTATCAATAAGAGTAATTTCATAATACATGCAGGTTTCAAGATAGTAAAATACCTCCATCACTGTATGTGTTTAAACACTGTCATACCCCAGAAATATTTAGTCTGAGGATCCATTTTTAATATTTGGGTGTTCTTTTTTCCAACATTATAACAAATTAAAACTATGTCCCATAAAAGGATTGTGAACTTACCTATCTTTTCCAATAAGGTAATATATTCTGTTCTCTGTAGTAATACTCAATACTTCGGTGAACTGGCACTTGAACATCTTTTTCACTGCAGACATTTTCTCAAAGTCACCTATGCCGAGTTCTATTTTTGAAGCCCTGTCAAATAAATATAAAATAGGTAAACAAATATTATAAATTCTTCTCAGATATGAGAAGAGAGTCTGTAGCTTATATCTGGTACAGAAAATTCCTGCCCAAGAAGTTTCTAGACAATCAGTAGAGCTATCATACCCAGGCTACAAAACCCAGGCAACCATTAAATAGTTCGTCACTCTTTGCTTGTAGTCATCTAGGGTTTTCAAGCCCAGATACAGTAATTGTAGAATCAGGATTGTGTCTTCACAAAAAGGATCTCTTTGTGCATAATCATATTAGGTCTCTTTTCACAAGTCCACAGAGTCAGAAAGCGACTAAACTCATGCAATTCTGTTATACCCATTTATTTTAATGCATGAAAAGTGTAATTTGACTGTTCTCTTCCACCTTCATCTCTAATATTTACTTACTTACTTACTTATTGAATCATGCCTCAACTAAACATCAAATAGAAATTAACTAAGATGTTAGAAATAAAAATGATGATAATGATCCTACAGCATAAAACAAAACCTAGCCAAGCTTATTAAACAGAGATTCAGTATCAGGGACTGTTTCATCCTGTGCTAGGGGTCATGGAAGAACTAGGTTTTTAAATATTTGTGGAACAGGGTTAGGATCACAAAGAATAGGGGGTCAGGGAGCTGTGACATAGGGAAAGTGCAGCCTCATATCATGTAATGTAGACCAACATTTGTTAAAGAACCAGGGAAAAGTACAGTAACCTTTATTATTTAAGCATCAGAAATGTTGTATTTCACCAGTAAGTCAGCTAAAATAAACTGTGATCCATTTGTTCAAATACTTACTCATTAATTTCAATGTGGCCCTTTATTTGCTGGCCTTTGTGATAGCTCAAGATATAACGATTTTGGGCAGAATGAGAAAGAATAAAATATCTCTTTTTCCAGGAAACCTACAGAAAGGGGAAAAATCAATTTCATATATTAGTAGAAAATCAACACATTAGGAATGCATTTTGATGATGCTATAATTTTCCTAACTGTACCTGATTATTAAAAAGCTGAGGTGGTGGTGATTTTATGAAGAAACCATGCTTGTAAACACTGCTGTCACAATTTTCTAAGAAAGAAAAACAAAAGGTCATGTTTTATAAAAAGATATTCTTGCACAATAACTAATGCTAAATGCTGGGCAACCAAATTTTGGCCTTGAAATATCATCAAGCCATCTCTCTTTTTCTTACTCATGCTCTACCTAGGCTTTAAACATACATGAAACAAACTAATAACTGCAATAAATAAGAAATGGCATTCTTTATTTTTTTTAATGAACATCTCCAAAATATCTTGAATATGTCACTACATAGCAAATACTTCCTAGACCTAGAAGATGGGAGGTAAGCAAAGTGTATATTGGAACAAGGAACAAAAAAGATGACAAGAGACACGGAAGAGCAATTTTGTGGAAAATAAAAAATAAGGTTCTAATATAGTGTTTTTCAACCTCAACATCTTTAATATGTGTGAACTTCAAATTCCAAAATTACCACAACCAGAATTTTCTACAGACCAAAGTTGTAGTGTGGGACAAGAAAAATAGAATGAATGATACATAAATTGCAAGATTAGAATAAGATGATTAATTTGTGTAGCTTGGTATAATATTTCCTAAAAATTGAGAAATGAATGGAGAAATTTTCAGATTTGTAAATGCTGGAAGAAGACAGTGGCTAGCTCATTGTGAAAAATGAAGATTTAAAAAAGTAAAAATAGTTATACATATTAAACTGATTCTGTCCATTGCATGAAAGTTGAAAATTTCACAATTGGATATGATGTAAAGGATAGAATGCATAAAGAAATTTGTTTGCTGGGATAGAAATATATAGAAAAGTACAGAAGATGGGGTTTATGAAAAGTAGTTTCTTTGGGTTTCCTTTTATCTCCTGATTTTAATTTGTGTTCCATACTATTGCTTACACTTGCATTTGCAAAATGTTGTTTAATCTAAAAGGGAATAATATGATATCTATATATGTTTGTGAGAACACTCCAAACACAGCACTGCCTATTGTATGATTTCCAATTGACTATATATCTCAAAACAAATAAAAATTTACACTGTGGCAAAGCATATTAAAATACTTTGGGAAAAACATATTTGGAAGAATAATGTATCATCTAATCCAGTGGTGCCCAACCTTTTTTGTACCAGGGACCAGTTTCACGATTATTCATTCTTTGCGGCCAGGTACAAAATGATCCACAGACCGGTACCGGCATCAGCACGCACGACCAAGGCAAGGCGAGCCGAGCGACCGGCCAGCCAGCCGTCCCCCGCTTCTCCCCGCCACCTTCAACTCCTCCTTCTCGTGGTTGATGGGTTTTTCAGGCTCTTTCTTAATCTCCTCCTGAGTAATGCGAGACTCCACCGCCATTGGGATGGCTCTTCGTTTGAAGCCCCCCCCTTTCGACGAAACTAAGGCACGAGGATTCCTTCAGCACCCAAACGCTGCTTTCCAACTGACGACTGACAAGCTCACCCGGAAGCACTTTCTCAAGCGCCGTCAAAACAAGGTGGCGGCACCCAAGCAAAGTAGGCCCTACTTTCATTCTTTGCGGCCTGGTACAAAATGATCCACGGACTGGTACCGGTCCGGGGCCCGGTGGTTGGGGACCCCTGATCTAATCCTAATATAATAATTTTATATAGTTAAGCAATGATGGTGGTTATAAAGAAAATATGCTGCTGTAGACACTATGATCTGAAGCTAGATACAAATGAAAGCATGAGGAAGCATTTTTTTGTATAAGCTCCTTTCATCCTCTGCATGATACATTTTATTGATTACTATGGTACTATTGCATATCATCAAGGCCCGTGAACAAGGTCAGGAACTGCCCCATTAGTTCTTAAAATCAGAAGATAGCCTGAAGGATTTGTATGAAAGTGGCAGACTACAGTTACAAGCAGAATTTCTCTTTGTTCTTAATAAAATTCTACCAAATTAACCTTTTGGTTCATAAAAATGGTTAAATGTGTTGAAATATGCTTGGTATTCACAGAAAACTCAGAGCAGTATTTAAAAAACATTGTCAAGTAAAAATAAAAATGTACGTGTAGAGCTTTTTGATGAATGAGAAGCAGAGCTCAGTGTGAAACAAACTCCGTTAGATCAGATCTCTGAAGTGTATAATAAATATAAAGGGTAAAATATAAAGCATGGACAAGATGCATTTTCTGCTTCATTGAGTAACAATTTAATGAAAGGAGCAGGTCTTTTAGTATGAAAATCTGATTGTAGGGTGGCTTAAGAATGTCCATTGCCAAATTCTTGATTCGGTTTGAAATCTGGATCAAAGTCAACCTGAAAAAAGAGTGGGAATATAACCTGGTGACTGTGTAACAAATTGTTATAACTTTATAACAGAGACTTGTTCTGCATTTATTGAACAAGAGACATATTGTCAAGTATCAAGTATAAAAAATGCTGTGAAAAGAGGAATCAGGCAAAAACATATTTAGAATTTATGTACCAATACTAGTTCTTCTTGTAGAATCCATATTTGATTATTAGTTCAACCTGAAAAATAAACAAAGAATGAATGTTAAAGATGAACTTCACTGTTTCTCAAGGCTACCATAACCAAAGGATTTCTAAAAGATAGACCTTTTCTTTTCAGGATTCACTAATCTATTTAATGCAAACAGAAACTGTAACCACACAACATATTATCAGATGGTAACAATATTGTTTGTTAATCTTATTTAAATTTAAGTTACTCATATACTTGGAATAAAATAAAATTATTTCATATGCCAAAAAAACAAAAACTCATATGCAATAGTTGTCAGTTTCCCCCAAAGAACATGGTTTTTGCCAAGAATAAGAATGTGATATTTAATTTCTATAATTTTGTCCAGTTGCTACTTGGAATGTTGTGCAAACAAAACATGGAAGATTCAATTACCATCCTGGAAATTCAACAGAATAATAAAATGCAACAAAAAGTCCCTTGAGATTAGAATTGTAAGAATTACATTGATAAAAGTTTATAAGAAGGAAAAGAGATTTAGGAACTGATATATAGTGCTCTTTAGCAATATATGAAGTTCCTACATTTCTTTCATCTTGCAGATAAAAACATCAGTATTAACAAAATGAACAATTTATATGGCATTAGTATTATGCAAAGATTTATTTGTGATATGACTTCCCTTTTTCCCCTTTTCCCTTTTGCCTGCACAACGACCCTTTAATATGCTTCAACTATTCTGGAAAGCCTATTTAGATACAAAGGGGAGAAAATATATAGTAGGTTTGCTAATAAATGCCACTTTACTAGCAGAATTATAGTCAAAATGAAGATTTTCAAAACTAATTCTTATCTCTATGCTGAACAGAATTCACCATATTTTAGAAATAAATTGGATTTGTTTGAAGAAAAGAACTATGGCTTTTAAATACTAGTGCCAAGATAAAAGAAAAAAAAATAGGACGTGTTAAATTTGAAATATAGTCCATAATCATTGCAAGCTAACTCATGTGAAAAATGTTCTTTCGTTTCTAAGTATTTAGAAAACACAGTGCTTTCAGTGAAAAGTATCAGACAGACATGTTCTGTACACCAGTGATGTTTCAGCAAGAAGAATTTCCTATTCTTTTCATTAGACATTGCATTTTGTGGATACATACAGTTGTTACACTGGACTGAACTTTCTCTGTTTTTCTCTATAAATAAATTCAGAACATCAACTGTTCACTAAAAATTCAATTTCTACAAGGAATTAATTAACTGAAGAAAACTGCAGTTTTAAAAAACCCTATTTTATCATGAGATTAATCATTCACTGAACTAAAACCCTATTCTTCTTCCTCTTCCCATTCCACCATATCTGTGACTAGTACATAACATAATTCTTTGTTTGCAAGGATTGAAAGGAACAAATATCACTTCTTCTTTTTATTTTATTTATTTGTCAAAAGCTTACAATACAACAGAAACAAGAATAAACATAAGTTTATTCTTGTTTAAATACAAGAAATAGGAACTAATTGGGGACAATAGGACAGGGACGGTAGGCACAATTGTGCACTTATGAATGCACCGTACAGACCTTTTAGGAATGGGGTAAGGTCAACAGAGGTTAGTTTGAGGATAAAGGAGGGGGGGCTTGAGCAGGTGACAACAGAATCAGATAGTGAGTTCCAGACATTGACCACTCTGTTGCTGAACTTCCTGCAATTGAGTTTGGAGTGATATACATTTAGTTTATATCTGTTGTGGTTAAAGCTGAAATATTCATTAACTGGTAAGACGTTGTAACAACAACAAAAAAAAGTACTATGCTTAAGTCCAATCTTAGTTGGCATAGTTCAAAGTTCTTTATTCACTTTTTTACCACTTCTTTATTCATTTCTGCTATATGACGAATATATTTTACATAAGAATATATTTAACACCAACCTCCAATAAAGGATGCCTAAAACGAAATTTATAACTGGGTGTATTTTTCCCTCCTTGTCTTTATTTTTCCAGGAAACTAGGAAGTATTTTTTTCTATGATGCTTACTATGTCTGTCCATACCTTGTGGACTGAGATGTCTCTTATCTGACTATTGCCGAGCCTTTGGATCTTCATTCTCCTGACTTTCAAAGATATTCCCACAGACCACTACACATGCATGCGTATATGCACATCCATAAATGTACATATGCCCAATAAAACCTGCCTACAAGAAGCAGTGCTACTGGTGATTAGTGGTAATCAGAATGGTATCAGGTGAATTGTCCAGTGGGAGGATATTGTATCCTGCTGCCTGGATTGAATGGCTTTCAAACTGTTGCCAAAATATCTCAGTCTGGACAGGATTTTCTTAAATTGGTTTAGAATAGAGGTCTCTAACCTTGGCAACTTTAAGCCCAATGGACTTCAATTCCCAGAATTCCCCAGCCAGCTTGGGTTGGAGATCCCTGGTTTAGAAGATAGCCAGTATAAGCACAGGGTAGGTACAGATTGAGGGTTTAGGGCTGCAAAGCTCTTTATAACTGAATATTATGTTTCAGCTTTGTGGGCAACTGCATTTTACATTCAAGATATTCAAGTGACATATATTTCATATTCCTAAAAATATTGGTTTTCTACTATTTTAAAATTAATCTTTGATAGTATACACTTCTTGGGAGTGGAGGGATAGCTTCAGTCACAGATGGCACAATGTTATTACTATTTCCGCACCTAATTTTTCTATTTATTATCTAATTGAACCGATATCCCACAAAAAACAAAGAAACACAGCAAGTCTAGAAGACGTGCTCAATCATTCAATAAGTTGATCAGATTATACTTTTAAGAAAGACAAGAAATTGATAGTCATTTTCCAATGAGAAAGAATACAAAATTAAAATGCAAATCACTCTTAATATAGTATTTAAAAGAAGATTTCAATCCAATCAAATATTTGTTTAAAGAATTGAAACAGAACCTGAGATGGGAATGGGGATGACTTGCCTTGATAAAAATATTTTTCAGATATTTCTGAAAAAATTAACAAACAATTTAAGGTCTTATCAAGACAGACACCAGACTTTGCTCACAGAACTATTCAAGTTTATGATTGCCTAAACATGCAATTGCCATGACAAAGAAATGAAGAAAATATCATAGATGTTAAAATATCTCAGGTAGATGTTGAAAATTGTAACATATGAAGCAGCATCTACATCAGACATGTTGAGAATGACAATAACAATAGAGTACATTGTATTGTAATAAGAGTTTATGATCTCTCCCAAAATTGCATGTATCTGAAAAGAACATAGTATAAGTTCATCAAATGCAAAATTCAGACTTTTGAAATTTAATAAACCAAGACAAAAACATTTATTGATGACTATAATCCTCTTTAATGCAGTACATTTTCCTCAATTTATTAAAATAATTTAAAACATTAATTCAAGAATGAAATTATTCAAAAATATGAAAAAAGAAAGGATATGAAAATATGGAACTGGAGTTACCATAGCATTTCAAGCCATATTACAATAACTAAGGTCTTACATTAATGGTATCAAAATGTGATAAGTATAACATATATATTTCATATATAATCAGTGAATTTTTGGGGATGCAGTTGAATATTCTTTAACCCTGCTAGACTATGATAAGATTGTAGATTTTTGAACGAAAGTATTTAATAATATGTACACAGAATAATATGTACAACAAACAGAACAAACAAACAGAAGTTAAGAATTATTATACATGTAAATTAGAATAAAAGTACTGCTAGGTAAGAAAGCATTTTCATTTTTAGCAGTTAAATTATTGCTGAACAATGAAATATATATATATATGTCAAGAGTTAAATAGTATGATAAGTTCTAGTTTACATCATTGCTTGACAAAGTTTATTGTAAAACCTATTATTTCACCATAAAAAATAGCAAATCATTATTTTATAGAGAATGGTGGGATATTATTGCTTATATATATAATAGAAATTATGGGAATGTTAAATTTTACTAAGATCATGTAAATTTACTTTAACTCTAAATATAATTTTGGTTGTTTCGTATCTCCTAGTAATCAATTATTATGCACATATTATATTCCTGTTACGATAATCTAATAGGTATTGTACAAAAATTATTTTCAAACTATAATATTGTAGATTGAACAATTCTACTACTGAAAAGTTTTAATTATAAATGTTTGTTTTACTTAAAAAATAATGATTTAAAAAAAATAAGACTGTAGATAAGCTAAAGGAAACATAAGGTACCTTTGACAGTTCCTTTGTCTTCTTCCAAATGGTAAATCTTCCAAACTAAGTGCCAACTCTTAGTCTTATAGGGCATACACCAAATAATATTAGAGTAAGCTAGTGTCATTTGCTTTAATCATGCCATTTGTATATTAAATTTTCTTGAGGCTGAGAGAAGGTGAAACACCTTTAAAATTAAAGGATGTTATCTTAGGTATGTACATCTTTAAGTGTTGTATGTTATGATTCTTGATTCTTAACGAATGTACTTTTTCTTTATGTATATTGAGAGTATTTACACCAAGACAAATTCCTTGTGTGTCCAATCACACTCAGCCAATAAAGTATTCTATTCTATTCTATTCTATTCTATTCTATTCTATTCTATTCTATTCTATTCTACATACTTGTGAATTTACAAGAGGGTCTATGGCCAAATTTGGAATACTAAAAGAGTGCAAGACTATTAACTGCAGATAATGTCCATGCACAGTTAAACTTTTGTACAACTCTTCCAAAGATGAAAACAAAGAAAATTCCAAGTTTTATTCCTGTTTTAAATTTTATTTACAGTATTTATAAGGGGGTTTTACCCAAATTTTGTGACAATAAAATGTAGTGAAACAATTTGCACTTTAACTACTGTACACAGAATAAAATTAAATTTTAGATATTGTCAGCTGTAAATAAATGTTATGATTTTTAGCAATACTTACAGGATAGGATGTTTTCTATGCTGGAGATAAGCAATGCCCAATCATGTCACTGAGACAGTTGTTGAAAATTGGATTATTTAGAGTGGCTGTCTTTTTATATCAGTCTTAATTATACCCCTAACTATGACTCATAAGGAAATACCCAATTTTTTTCATATGGGAAATATTCTCTTTTACTGTCAAAACTGAAAGTTGTTTTAATGAGAAAATACGGGAAGTTGCAGTGTATTTAAAAAGCTTTTGACAGGGCACAGAACAGGTGCAATAATAATAATACTAAATCCAGGTTGGCACTTGGTTTGCTTTTCTATTTCATTTCCTCATAGCATTTTAAAAAAAAAAGTAACACTACTCCAACAGCAAGACAGATATGAATTGCTACGAGGATATAGTTGGCGACTTGATTGCTATTATTACAATCCAACAAAATACTTTATTTAATGAATGACACAGGAAGGGAAACTTTCAGAAAACAAATCCATAGACCTTTCCTTATGGTTGGGGAAAAATGTTTTCTTAGAATTCCTATGTTATCTCATATAATCTCACCCAAACTCATACCAGAAGCAGCCACACTATTCTGATGTTGCTGAAACATGTTAAGACAATTCTAAAATGTATAAAATCTGATGTGTATGTCTGACAATTCTGTTGTTAGTGCAGCTGATTGACTATAGCAGCTGATTGACTACTAGTGCAGAAGACTGACTGCCACTGGTACCTGTTGGCAATGTTAGTCTGGTATAGGCAAATCCCACCATATTTCCATTCTTTCATAGTTCTCTCCTTATAGCAAGAACCTGGCACAAATGTAATGGGACTTTGTGAGATGACGGACTCCAGAATTAATAGGAAGAACTGGCTTTTTCAAACCGCAGATATTGCCTACTGTTTGATAAGATTGCCACACGGCTCTATCAGCCTACAAAGCCTGTTTGTCTGGCTTGTGTACGTTCTGGTTGAACTGGACTGGCCCAGCAACACAGCCATCATTCATGATAGAAGGAGAAGTATAAGACACAAATATTAAGATAACTTTTGAAAGTTTTTCTTTATCTCACTTCTGCTGAGAGGCAATGTGCCCCCCCCCCCCGAAAATATCTTGCTCAAATTTGCCAATCAAGAATTGTGCAACAGATTAAGACATTGGCCGGGGGACAATAAAGGTGACATCAATGGAGAAACAATCCTCAGTACCGGTAGTCCTCGACTTACGATCAAAATTTAGTCCAAAATTTCTGTTGCTGAGATATTTGTTAAGTGAATTTTGCCCCATTTTATGAATTTTTTGCCACAGTTGTTAAGTGAATCACTGCAGTTAAATTAGTTACATGGTTGTTAATAGGTTTTCCCCATTGATGTTGTTTGTCAGAATGTTACAAAAGGCAAGCACATGACCCTGGGACACTGCAACCGTCATAAATATGAGTCAGTTGCCAAGCATCTGAACCTTAATCATGTGAGATTAAGAATAGCTTTAGTATTTTTCCTCCTACTGACGCAGTGGTGAGACAAGACCAAGGAGAAGGGAAGAGTGAAAGGAACTTCTGGTTTTTATTTTCCTCAGGTTATCTGTCTGTCTGTCTATCTGCATTAATAGACAGGTTCCCATTCATGTCCTCTTGCCCATTATCCCTCAAACAAGCAATAAAAGTTTACTACTGACAATGCATCTTTATTTTTTTTTGTTTGAATTTATAAAATAAATTTAAAATGTAGGTTTAAATGAAAAGCAGAGTATGTCTCTTTTCCCCGTACCTTTGTACCTTTCTCTTGAAAAAACTTGTTTTTTGGAAAAGAAATATTATGAAGAGTACAATGTTAATTTTTCAATATTCTTACCCACAAATATCATAAAATAGGATGTTCTGAAACCTTAAATGAAATATTGATCTCCTTGCTGTGTCTTTTCAGCTGATCAGGGAGACACTTGTGTCAGGAGTGGGGTTTTCTGCTGCTTGCTTTACTTTTAAGGACTAAAAACTAGTTTCAGTTACTTGGATACCTCAGTAAAAGTATTACATTGCAGACATGCTTAACCAATCAACCAATAGTAAGCACCCAAATAGTATGTGCTAATCTCGTCCTAAATATTTCTGGAATAGGAAAATTTCTACAGCAAAGCAAAAGCAACAAACCAAAAACAAATTAGTGCTTGGTAGCTATTATCAAGCCCTACAAATACCATTATCTCAATAAATGCCATTTTTGGTGGCAAGGCAAAACAACTGAACAAAATAACGAAATGTGTATGTGGAGAGAGGGAGGGAGGGAAACTTGCACAGGATAATATGTAGATGTGTTTCTAAAAGGAGGAGGAAAAAAGCAAGAGAAAGTTTATGGAAATTAAAACAAATAGACAAAGCATTCTCTCCTACACTGCGTTATTCCGGTTTTTAGAATTCAGAACTTAATTCTGCCCACACCCTGAAAAAGGCTCCTTAAAGTCACCATTTCATGTTTCACATTCGTACAATTTCCTGAACTTTAATACTGCTTGATATTTTGCTTTAGTGCACCCAAGAAATAATTCATACATAAGCAAGAGTTCTGCCTACTGCAAATTAGTAGTGTGTGTGCCTGCAAGTCTTTTTGTCCCTCCTTCATTATTTTCCAAGACTTTAAACCCAAATGTTCCATGTTTGCGAAAGTTCTCTGGTTCAAGTAGTGCTGTTTCCTATCTCAATTTTAGCTCATATGACCCTGGTGCTGTCCATGTCCCAGGTTTGCAGAATCCTATCTTGCTTCCTTCCACTACCTGCCTTAGCTTGTCAATGTCCAGCATAGCAGTACTTACCAGTCCAGGTGTCCCAGATGCCCTTGTCCTTACTCCTTTCCAGGCCACTTCAGCTGTGCCTTTAATAAGTGACTGTTTCTCATTCATATCTTTGAGTCACTTTTACTGTAAACTAATGCATTTCAGTCCATCTTGATCTCCAGAACAAAATAGAGGTTTCATTCCAAGACCAGAGTTGCCCACACCTGCAAGGCATTCAAAACGTAGCTTTGCCATTTCATCTGTGAAACTGATAGTATGGTTGAGTGGGATCTATGAATGTTCTTAGATACTATTTTATGGTGTTTTATGTTTTTAATTTTATTAGTTGCCCAGAGTCAATTATTTTATTTGTCAAAAGCTTACAATATAACAGAAACAAGAATAAACATAAGTTTAAATACAAGAAATAGGAAATAATAATTGGGGACAATAGGACAGGGACGGTAGGCACGATTGTGCGCTTATGCACGCACCTTACAGACCTCTTAGGAATAGGGTGAGGTCAATAGAGGTTAGTTTGAGGGTAAAGGAGTAGGGTTTGAGCAGGTGACAACAGAATCAGGTAGTGAGTTCGAGACATTGTCCACTCTGTTGCTGAAATCATACTTCCTGCAATCAAGTTTGGAGTGGTTTACACTTAGTTTATATCTGTTGTGCGCTCGTGTTGTTGTTAAAGCTGAAATATTCATTAACTGGCAAGATGTTGCAACATATGATTTTATGTACTATGCTTAAATCTAATCTTAGTCGGTGTAGTTCAAGGTTGTCTAAGCCAAGAATCTCAAGTCTGGTGCTGTAGGGTATTCTGTTGCGAACTGAGGAATGTAGTACTCTTCTGGTAAAATACTTCTGGACTTGCTCAATTGTATTTATGTCTGATATACAATGCGGGTTCAAGTTATGTAAAATGAGCAGCGACGTAATTAAAGCCATCCAAACACAATGCTTTTATTCAAAAAGACCAAGAATCAGGCCTTCTTAGCAGTGAATACATTGCACTTTGCTCCAGAAGTATGACTGGCTGTTAGTTGGATAACTAATACTAGACCAAAGTAAATAGACCAAAGTAGCATTGTTCCGCTTATCATTTGGCCCTAAGTTGTACTGTTTTTTTTCTATTGCCATTATGTGTTTTTAATGTAATTTTAGACTTCTTTAACTTCACCAGGAGCCAACCTGATTGAGATGGCAACGAATACTGCAAAGTAAATGAGTAATAAATAACTAAAACAATTGTTGTGTACAAAGAATTAGTGCAGAGATTTATTTTTATTTAGCAAGTTTTCCCTTCTTTTCTTGTTATGCTTGTTGGAGTCTGAGGCAGAAGTAGGTTTTTATAATGGAGATGCTTGTGCTTATTTGATGTCTCACTGATCATATTAGAATTGATTTTCAGAGTTTCCAGGCCTGCATTTAACAGAGCTTGGAGTTCTTTCTCCCATACTTCCCTGATAATTGTCTTAAAATAGATTTTTCCTCAGATGTAGTCCACAAGTTTGCAGACATTGAAACTCCATTCCAGCTCTCCTCCTTTTCCCAAAATTATTGAGGTAAATGACTGGCTCAAGGAAATTTCTAACTCACATTATGTGATGCATTTTTTTTAAAGTCATCAGAAGATCTATCTCATTTTACTGGATGTAACCTGGGCAGTAAAATAATTTTACAGAAGTTGGGCTGTAAACTGCTAGCAACTGCTGGTCTTGGTCCTATCTGGCTTTTTGTGTAAATCGGTTGATTAATTTGGCTATCTTTCAGAGAATGATGCAGATTCACCTAATATTTAAACTGGAGTAAGACATTACTGTCTTATTCAGAGTCAACAGCAGGCAAGAGGATTGGTTTTGGAAAGTTGAAGCTGGGTTGACCAAGAGTAACAAGTTGTTGAAATTGTCAAGCTTTAAAGAGAATCACTCAGAAAATGCACGAGAAAATCCAAGTGAGAATTAGTAATATTTAAGAAAATTGAAAGAATGTTAGCAATGAAAATAAATACTGAAGTAGTCTTGTCACTGATGCAACTGGATTGTTTTCAAATGAGGTGATATTTGAAGAGAGGGCAACCAAGTTGGAGAATTCTTCTACTTGTTTTATGAGGCATGTTCTCACATGTGAAATCAGAGCATCATCCAACAATAAATCAGGGCAGATGCAATGGGATTTGATATGGGGACGATAAGATGCTGCTGGTTTTCTGTTGGTTCAAGTGCATATCGAGAACTATAAGAAAAGGTCAAATGCTTCTGATAAGGCATTATCTGCTGTCAAATCAGGAAATGTTTTCCATTGTTTTAGCTTCCTTGTCCATATTTGCCCCAAATAAGCCCATGTTGTACCGAAATTGTCAGGAGACAGCAAGATCCTATGTAAATGTAAAAATTCAGTTGGGATCCAGTTTGGTACAGTCATCAGGATTAAAAACATTGTCTAGTGGTTAGGGTACCAGGATAAAACTATAAAACTGGAAGTTCCAGCCCTGCCTTAGGCACGAAGCCAGGTAGAGGATTCTGGACTCCTTTAAGCCCT